CCATCCTTCATCTCTCATGGGCAGCTAGTGGTCCTGGAGGCTGAGCCAAATGCAAAGCCTGTCTACTCAAGGCCAGCTAAGGGCTTTCACACCTGACCTCAGTCCTGCAATGGTAGGAAGGCTTGGGAGCAGGTGAGGCCAGAAGCATGCACACTCACACACATACCAACCTAGGGCAGAGAAAGCAAGGGCTCCCAGCTTCCTATGCAGGGAAGGTAGGTAGGGTCTGGGTCCAATGTTCCACACTGTGTCTCAGTGCCTAGCATAGGGCCTAGCAGAGAGCAGGTGTCAGATATATGTTTGCTGAATCATAACTAGATGACTTAGCTCTTGAAAATCAGACCAAAATGTCCAAAGTGAGGTGGCCCAGCGCCAAAGTCCCTGTATCTACTTCTACACTGGGTCTAGCTCATATCCAGAAGAGGTATATAGCACCTTCCCCCAAATACAGGAAACTACTAGTCTAGCCATATTCAGCCACAAGTCCTACTTCTTCTTCCAAAGATGAGACTTCTCTCCTCAGCTCCAGGTTGCTCCCTTCTCTTGTCCACAATCCTGCTAGGCTTCTTTTTTCCATTCAAACACACACCACCCACCCCATCTAAGCATCACTCTTGCCCAGCCCTCATCTTAGACTCCACTGGTCTTCTTACAAAGCACATTGTTGCTGCATCTGCTCCAGAAGCTGCACTAAGTCTCTAGTGCTGTCCAACACAGTAGCCAGCAGCCACGTGTGGTTATTTAAATTTGAATTAAAGTCTGAAAATTTTAGACTAAATTTCTTAGTAACATTAGCCACATTTCAGAAGTCCAATGACCCCAGGTGGCTGTGCTATACTGTTCAACACAGAGATAGTATATCTCCATTATTACAGTTCTACTAGTCTCTTTCTAGAACTCGGCCCTTCAGCACTGCCTTAGTTAGCACTTTTTCCTGCAACCCACTCTTATCTCACCCCAAACAGGTCCTGTGCTCCCACCACTAACTCCTGCCATCTGCTCTACGTCTGCCTAGGGAAGATGATTCTCTTGCCCTGCCACCCACTGCGGGATCTCAGTGGGCGTCCATATCCAGTGCCCCTTCACATCTAAGCAGTTCTAAGACTGATAAGACGCGGTCATTCAAACCTTCTGGAAGTTAACCTTCCAGAAGACCACTCTGGGTTTCAGGTGTTGAGGTTTCAAATGAAAGGCGGCCCCTGCCCCTGCTTGGGGGCGGGGGGGAATCCCTGACACTGTGATCCTGCCCAGTTCTGTCCAGGATCCAGGCATGGAAACAAACCGACTCTGTCTCAGACTCCAAGGACGCCAAGGGCAACTCAAGGCTCCCCCAAGTCGCCCCCATCTGGCCTCAAGCCCCAAAGGACCCTAGGCCAGCTCCCGCTCTGAGTCCCACACCACAAGTCGCGACCCTCCTCCCCTGAGGCGGGAGCTGTAGCACTGCACTGGCCAAGGGCTCGAGGGGAGCGTCAGGGACCCGTTCCGCTCAGAGCCCGTCGGCCCCTCACTCACCCCCAGCCTCGGCGGCCGCGACCGGCTCACAACATCCGCCTAGCCTCTCGGCTACGGAGTCCGTCCAGGGCCAAACCATGCGCCCTCTTACGCGCAGCGCCTTCAGTCGTGCACGCGCACGCATAGACGCACTGGCCTCGCTAGGCCACTGTCAGGGAAATCCCTCTGCCAACAGCAGGACTGCTTTCAACCTGTTTCAACCCCCACACCCCCTGCCTTGGGGGTGCTGCTAGCCCAGCCGTGGTCTAAGGCCACGTCCTGACAGGGATCCCAAGGCCAGCTGTCTCTGTTCCTGCCCTACTTGGAGGATTGGCCCATGTGTCTTCCAGGCCCATATGCTTGAAAGACCACTCCTGCTAGAGTCTCTGCTACCTGTCATCTCCACCCCTATTTAGGCCCCAAAGGGGACCTTGCTCACCTTCCTTGGGACGATACTTCTGGCAGGCAGTGAGCCTTCCTGGCTGTGCTACCAGGGGTGTGGGCTGACTTGTCTACAGCTGGAGCACTGCTGATAAGGCAAGAAAAGGGGGAACCAGTACTGGGGCTGGGCAGATAATACTTCCCAATTTACAGGGGGAAGCTGAGGCTCAGAAATTTAATGTCACCACCCAGGCCTCTGACAGCATCCAATGACAATCTGATGGGCTTTTCTGTCCAGTGCCCTGGGACAGAAAAGGCTGTAGGGAGGCTTCACCCCCATCCCAGGCTACCTTGAGTCTCCCCTGTTAATCTTACTAGCCTCTGACCACTTCCTAGGACCCTCAGAGGTCTAGGTGTGCTAGGGTGAAGGCCCTTGTGCTAGTCCTATCTGTTTCCTGCCACAGGGTTTCAGGTCAGGCCCCAGCAGCCCTGGAGTGGGGGTGTGTAGCCACAGCCACCCAATCCTGTAGGGCCAGGTTTCACAACTTCCCCGATGGGACTGTAGTGGGTCACAGTGCAGCCTCTTGCCAGGAGGATGGGGTGGTTCCCAATCCTGTTGCTTCTGACCCAGGTCTTAGTGGCCCCAGGTGAGTTCCCCCACCTCTAATCCTCACCTGCCTTTATGAGGGGGTAGACCCTAGGCCCATGCTACTGTTTTTGTCAGGAGCTCACTTTCCCACTGTGCAGGGAGAAATGACCTTGGCCTCTTGAACAGAGCTGGGAAGACTTAGAACACACACACAAAAAAACACTGCCCACTCAGGCCTACGTTCACATGTCTGCTGTAGCATTAAAGCAGTGTTGGGACTACTCAGCTGAACATACATAGCAGGCAGTGACTCCTTTTGAGCCTGATCTACCCCCTAACCTAGCATATGCCTTCATGCTCATGAGAGCCCAGACTTGGAGTCAGAATGCCAGGTTGGGGCCCTCCCTGAGTAAAGTAATAGCTCTGAGTCTAAGTATTCTCATTTAAAGGATGAGTTGAGAGCGAGCGAGATCCCCCGTCCCTCCAGCAGACGCTGCCCGGGGCTAGTCAGTTGTTGGGTGAGAATCGGGCAGGGCTGGTTAAGGGGTAAGAAAGAAGGACTGGAATGTCATCACTGATCAGAAAGGTGATCAGCACCGTGAAAGCCCCAAGGGCCATTGGTCCCTACAGTTAAGCAGTGTTAGTGGACAAGACCATKTACATCTCTGGACAGATAGGCATGGATCCTTCCAGTGGACAGCTTGTACGTGGAGGGATAGCAGCAGAAACTAAACAAGCTCTTACAAACATGGGTGAAACTCTGAAAAGTGGCAGGCTGTGACTTCACTAATGTGGTCAAAGCAATTGTTTTGCTGACTGACATGAATGACTTCAATACTGTCAATGAAATCTACAAACAGTATTTCAAGAGTAATTTTCCTGCTAGAGCTGCTTTCCAGATTGCTGCTTTATCCAAAGGAGCATGCATTGAGATTGAAGCAGTGGCTGTCCAGGGACCTCTCACAACRGCAGGTTTATAAGTGGGCAGTGTTATTCTCATCATGTCTTTAAATTAACATTTTGATTCTTACAATTGATGTTGAAAGTATACATGTGACTAAAATATCTGTAGTTATCATGGATGAAAGGGAAGTGACCACAACACTCAGAGCAACCAAGAGATCTTTATTTGCAGCAGTGCAACAGAGGAGAAGAGAGAGAGAGAGAGAGAGAGAGAGAGAGAGAGAGAGAGAGAGGAGAGAGGACGCGCGCAAAGGAGACAGAGCAAGAGAGAAGAGAGAGAGGGGCCCGACAGGAGGGAGTTTTTATAGCCCAAATCTAATGAGGTTTCTGGGTCTGCAAGCTGCCTTGTTGGCACAAGGGGGTTACGTGTTCGGCCTTGAGCAGGGGGGTTGAGCGGGGGCTTGGGCGTTTGGGCTTGAAGCAAATAGTTGATAAAGAACCAGACAGAGGGTTTGAGAGGCCAGGTCATCCTGCAGTTACCTTTGTTTGGCATGCCCTGCAGACAGCTTACTCAGCCTGTCCTGCACCTAACAATGGAAATACCATATTATACAGGGAGTTGACATGAATTGAATATTAGATAATGAATCCAAGTACTGATGCTACAAATTACACATGTGTGCACTCATTGCTGAATATGGGAGAAGGGACACTCATTACATAGTCACTCAAGTAAACTAAAGTACAGGGGAAAAATAACACAGGGTAGATGAGTTATTGTTCCTGAAAAATAATAAAGAGCAAGCCTAATTCAATTACATTCTATTCAATTAAATGATATGAAATATTTAGTTCTCATGTTAGATATGTGATTCTGCTTTTACTTGTAAAATATTCACTCTTGAGTGGTAGAAGTAAAAGTGGACCAAAATTTTATGTAGACAATATTTTTCTAATGGAAACAAAATACACATGCAGATTTAAAAAAAAAAAAAAAGGATGAGTTGGTTAAACTTCACAGGGCAAGCACCATCACCCACAGTTCTCATGGAATATGTTAGATCTGAACTGTACCTGGCCTGCTAGAGGTACTAGTGATGACAATTGGCATGTCTGGGCCTACTTCCCACACCCTATGCAGGGGGCACTGGACTGGCGCTTGAAAGTGCAAACAGAATTTTTCCTTGTATCTGATCTTCTGAATGGACAAAATGTGGAACATGCCACTGACATGCATGACAACTTGTCCTGTGCCCACCTCACACACAGGGCAGCGCTCACCACTGAATGACTTCCAGGTGCTTCGTGGCACAGAACTGCAGCACCTGCTACATGCAGTGATACCAGGGCCTTGGCAGGAGGATGTGGCAGATGCTGAAGAGTGTGCTAGGCTCTGTGGGCCCCTCCTGGACTGCCGGTGAGTGCCCATGTGGTCTAGATTTGGCTGGAGGTATGGGAACCTGGGCCTCTGAATAACCCTGTGCCTTCTCCTCCCCAGTGCCTTCCATTATAACATGAGTAGCAATGGTTGCCAACTCCTGCCGTGGACCCAGCACTCGCCCCACATGCAGCTACAACGTTCTGGGTGCTGTGATCTCTTCCAGAAGAAAGGCAAGTGGGTGCAGGGAAGAGCAGGGCGAATATGAGGTCAGGGACCTCAGATCCTCTTAACCTTTCATCTCTTGCTTCCAGACTATGTGCGGTCCTGCCTCATGGACAATGGGGTTGGGTACCGGGGCACTGTGGCAACAACAGCAGGTGGCCTGCCCTGCCAAGCTTGGAGACACAGGTTCCCTAACGACCACAAGTGAGACTGATATTTTCCCTTTATCCTGGCCCATAGACTTTCCGCAGCACACACTGTAGCAACGACTCTCTGCCTCCAGGTATACTCCCACACTTCGGAACGGCCTGGAAGAGAACTTCTGCCGCAATCCTGACGGGGACCCTGGAGGTCCCTGGTGCTACACGACAAACCCTGAAGTGCGCTTCCAAAGCTGTGGCATCAAGTCCTGCCAGGAGGGTAAGCAGCGCTCGGTCAAGCCTGGGGAGGGAGGAACAGGCCCACTCCTGTCCAGGAACGTACTGGAGCTGTGTCTCCAGCTGCTTGCATTTGGTGCAACGGCGAAGATTACCGCGGCGCGGTGGACCGTACAGAGTCGGGACGCGAGTGCCAGCGCTGGGACCTGCAGCACCCCCATTCGCATCCCTTCGAGCCTGGCAAGTACGTGTGGGTGCGCAGAATCCGCTCTCCGGGGGCGGGGCTAAGGGAAGGTCCAGACCTACAGGAGTGGGGCTGTAGATCCGACCCTGACCGGAAGGGTCAGGGGAAAATGACCCTTCACTTTCATCAGATCCACCCCATCCCCAGACCTGGTACAGTATGAGAAGTGCGGACAGGCTGGATCAGCAACAGGTTCAGCAAGAAGGAAATTGGGCAGGGACAGAGTCCCAGGGTCTTCTTCATGCCCGCTACTACCCCCAGGTTTCCGGACCAAGGTCTGGATGACAACTATTGCCGAAATCCTGATGGATCTGAGCGACCCTGGTGCTACACTACAGACCCGCAGCTCGAGCGAGAATTCTGCGACCTCCCCCGTTGTGGTAGGCCACGGGGATTGAGCTTGGAAGGGCATCTGGGAAAAGTTGGGGGAAGAGCGTGACTTGGCTGGGGTGGGACAACCCAACGGGAAGTTAAGAGCAAATCCTGCTGAGTACTAAAGACCTATAAGAGGAAAAGCCCAGCCCAAGCTCAGCCTCCAGTCAGGGTCCGATCTTCCCTGGTTCATCCAAGGATCCGAGGCACAACCAAGCCGCGAGGCCACAACATTCAGCTGCTTCCGCGGGAAGGGTGAGGGCTATCGGGGCACAGCCAATACTACCACTACAGGCGTGCCTTGCCAGCGTTGGGACGCTCAGAGCCCGCATCAGCACCGGTTTGCGCCAGAAAAATACGCTTGCAAGTGAGTGATCCTAGGGCGCTGGGGGGAGTATTTGGGCGGGAGGGGGCGGGACTTGAATGAGTTGGGGTGGGGGGTGGGGGGGCTGGAGGCCCTGCCCTACAGCGGAGGCGGCTGTCTGCCCAGGGACCTTCGGGAGAACTTCTGCCGAAACCCAGACGGCTCCGAGGCGCCCTGGTGCTTCACCTCACGGCCTGGTATGCGCGTGGCTTTTTGCTACCAGATCCAGCGYTGTACTGACGACGTGCGGCCGGAGGGTAAGGCCCGAGCAGAAGGAATAGAGGCGCCAAGCCTGAGGGTCAGGGCGAGGACTGGAGCTGACCGCTGCTCTTGCCCGCCCATGGCAGATTGTTACCACGGCTCAGGTGAGCAGTACCGCGGCTCAGTAAGCAAGACCCGCAAGGGTGTCCAGTGCCAGCGCTGGTCTGCTGAGACGCCGCACAAGCCTCAGTAAGTGCGCTTTAAGCCTTGGGCAATACGCTTTGGCTTCTTGGACCAGAGTCTGGAGAAAGTTTGAGACCACCCTGCCATGATTTTGTTCCGGCTTCCACCTAGATACACGCCCTCCTCAGTTCCTCAAGCTCAACTGAAGGAAAACTTCTGCCGGAATCCAGATGGGGATAGTCACGGGCCATGGTGCTACACCATTGACCCAGGGACTCCGTTTGACTATTGTGCCCTTCGACGCTGCAGTGAGTGTTGATAACTCTTCCCCATATACTGCCTCAGCCATCAACCTCAGACTGGTTCTCCCATAACATGGATATACTCGGTCTTTCAGATGATGACCAGCCACTGTCCATCCTAGATCCCCCAGGTGAGGACTTGGGCAAGTAGTGGGTAGAGCCCCTTTGTCCCTCCACCTCTATCCAAGGGGGTTTCATCAGACACCCCCATCCCCAGACCAGGTACAGTTTGAGAAATGCGGCAAGAGGGTGGACAGGCTGGATCAGCGGCGCTCCAGGCTCCGTGTGGTGGGGGGCCATCCTGGGAACTCACCCTGGACAGTCAGTTTGCGTAATCGGTGAGGCAAAAGTGTCTGTCCCCCCAGGAGAGGAGCTGAGGTTGTGTCCTGTTTTTTATGCTAGTGGGGGATGGGAACCTGCTGCTGGTCTCAAATCCTACCCAGAAAATGGCAGGTCCAGTATGTGTCCCAGAACTCACTGTTTCTTCTCCTAACCCCAACTCTTACAGGCAGGGACAACATTTCTGTGGAGGGTCCCTAGTAAAGGAACAGTGGGTACTGTCTGCCCGGCAATGCTTCTCATCCTGGTGAGCCTCTCTTGGGTTTGGGGAACTCAATCCCACTCTTGTCTTCCCTCTAGCCACCTTCCCCAGACAAGCCTAACAAGTGAGCCAGGAGGCAGCACACTGGCAATCAAGAGTGATCTAGGGCTAGAGTTGTGGCTGCTGGCATGCATGTAATAAATTAGCCAGATGTGGTGGTGCAAGCCCGTAATCCCAGCAGTGGGGGAGGCTGAGGCAAGAAGGATGGAGTTCAAAGCCAGCCTCGGCAAAAGCAAGGGGCTAAGCAACTCAGTGAGACCACAAAAAAAAAAACAAAAAACACAAAAAAAACCCCACACACACAATATAGGGCCCGGGATGTGGCTCAGTGGTGAATTGCCTCCTAGTTCAATCCCTGKCACCTAAATAAATAAATAAATAATTAAAAATGATCTAACAGAGCTTTTCTTCTAGCCATGAACCTCTCACGGGATATGAAGTGTGGTTGGGCACCCTGTTTCAGAACCCACAGCCAGGGGAGCCAGGCTTACAGCAGATCCCAGTGGCCAAGATGGTGTGTGGGCCCTCAGGCTCCCAGCTTGTCCTGCTCAAGCTGAAGAGGTATGTGGACAAGTTCAGAGGGTGTAAGGTGTAAGGGTTGGGCCTTGGGGCCTCAGGTGCTGACTGCCCTTTTTTCTGCTAAAGATCGGTGATCCTGAACCAGCGTGTGGCCCTGATCTGCCTACCCCCTGAGCGATATGTGGTGCCTCCAGGGACCAAGTGTGAGATTGCAGGCTGGGGCGAGACCAAAGGTAAGAACACAGTGCATAATCATGGACTGCTCCAGGCCAGAAGGTCCAGCTCTGGGTCCTGCCCAAGGGCCTCTCCTTCTCCCCATTCTCCTCACTGTAGGTACAAGTGATGATGTGGTCCTAAATGTGGCCTTGCTGAAAGTCATCTCCAACCAGAAGTGTAATGTCAAGCATCGAGGACGTGTCCRAGAGCACGAGATGTGCACTGAGGGATTATTGGTCCCTATGGGGGCCTGTGAGGTCAGTGGCTAGGCTCCTGGGCCAGCCCAGGGAGGGTGTGAGGGGTTGGAGATGTATGATTTCAACCCCAAGAGGATAATCAATGCCATGGTCCAAGGCTCTCAACAGTTCCCTCCACCTGCCAGGGTGACTACGGTGGCCCACTTGCCTGCTTTACCCATGACTGCTGGGTCCTGGAGGGAATTATAATCCCCAACCGAGTGTGTGCTCGGCCCGGCTGGCCAGCCATCTTCACGCGTGTCTCTGTGTTTGTGGACTGGATTCACAAAGTCATACAGCTGGGCTAGGCCTGGTCTTAACCTCTTGCGTTAGGGAGCACAAAACTTGTCAGACATAAAGCCACCTTTTCTCTTTACACCTGTGGAGAATGCCTCTTAGCTCTGCTTCTAGGGAATAAGTTTGTGACTCCTTATTAGGGCCTGGGTGGCTGGAGCCCAGCAACCATTGGCTAGGTGGTCTGACCCTGGAAGTACTTTTGCCTGTGGGTTCTTTGGAGGTGCAAGGTCTCATGCATCCTCCAGAGGTACTTTTGGGAGTAGAGGGTGGTACAGAGCAGATTCTAACTGAAAAGACAATAGCCGAAGAAGCTAGCCTGGTGCAGAGTCCCATTTGGCCAAAACTGACAGGTGCAGAGCCTCTCACTTCCCTCTGCTCTGACACTGGAGACACATGAAGCCCTTGTAGCTATCACATTCAGGGCCGTAGGCCTCTGGATCCCAGGATTAGGGATGGGGATGGGGATGGGAATGGCGTGGTACAAAGTACCATCATTGAACCAGGATCTGTGTCCTTATTTATTATTACATAGCCCACATTCCCCCGCCACTCATTCAGAGTCCAGAGCCCAGGAGGCCCCTCACTGCTCTGTTAGATCTTGGAGCTCCCCAAGAAAAAGTATGATATTCCAGCTCACGCAGAATGGCAGGGCTTCAGCTACCCAAGTGTGTGTGCAGCCAGAGCACAGCATTCATGAAACTGTCTGATTCCACCTCCACCTCTGATAGTGCATGGGTGCTTTTGGGATAGAGCAGGAGCCTGTAGGGGTAGGGCAGCAACATTTGAGGTTGGAGGGTCCTCCCCTGCTCACCTGCCCACCAGCTGCCAAGGATAGCCTGAGACACTCACCGAACGGGCACGTTCCGGGCCTTTAGGGCACGGTAATACTCCATGCCCTGCTTAAAGGGTACACGCCGGTCCTCCTGTCCCAGCATTAGTAACAGCGGGGTCTTTACCTAGGTGTGCGAGGAGCCAGGTGGGGGGCATTGGTGAACTGGCCCCTGGATTCTGGGTGGATAGATGGCACATGGGACAAGGAAGAAAACTAGGTACCTGAGGGATATACTTGATGGGTGACTTGTCCAGCATCTCTGCCCACACACTGAGGTCTGGCAGGCAGTCATTGCTATAAGGGAAGCCAGCCTCCACCACACACCTGCAAGAAACCAATCTGATATAGCCCCAGGAATTCTGATTCCTACAGGGGCTCCACTGGAATGAAATACAGGGTGGAAGGGAGGAAGACAGAAACCTGTGTTACATACTCACCAGTCAGGGATGTCAGTGGAGCCCATCATGGAGGCTATATTGATCACAGGGTTCCGGGCCACGCAGGCACCATAGGTCTCAGGGTATTGACCAATCAAGTGGCACGACAAAAACCCACCATGGGAACCACCCATAAGGGCCACACGGCCTGCATCAAAGTGCTCCTCCTGGAGTACCTGCTCCACTGCAAACTACAAGGTGAGGCACAGCACACTGCAGCCAGCTGCCTGCCCAGTTGAATAGAGCCACACCCTGACAGCCCACCCTCCAGCCTGTCCAGAAGCCCCAGCCCTCTGCTACCTGGACATCCTTCACATCCTGGTGGCCTACATTGCCTGGGAGGGAAAGGATACTGTCCTGACCAAAGCCCGTGGAGCCACGATAGTTCACTGAAGGCAAGGGAGGGAGCAGATAGAGTTGTCAAACAACATTCTCATTTCCCTGGACAATATTTCACACATATGTGAAGTAAGCCCTGGGACCAGAAGTACAACAGTCTGTCAAGGGGAAAGGGTCAAGAGGTTTGAGGCTGCTACCCAGTGAACACAGCATTCTTTCCATGGAAGTCCCAAAATCTACTTATCACCATACATGGGGCCAGAGGCTGCGTCAGAGCAGTTCTTGGTAATGGTTACTAGAGAAAGTAACCAGGCTACAGAAAAGCCAGGAGACTGGGGAGGCATCTTTGAGGCTTATACAAACCAGCCCCACCCCATTACTCCACCAAAGCCTTAGTAGAGTATAGGTCCCTCCTTGCTCACCTAATAGCACTGCAAAGCCCATCTTGCAAAGCATGGCTGGGAACAGCATCCAGGCAGTGACAAAGGATGAATGAGGTCCTCCTGTAGACAAGGAGTAGAAGATGAAAGGGCCAGCTAGGAGGGATGATAGGAGGGCAAGGGCTCTTCCGCCAGATGCCTACCGTGGGGCATAACCACCATGGGCACCTGAGTCTTATCTGGAGTGTTGCTGGGCTGCAGAAGGATTGCTTCAAAGTCAAGGCCAGCTGCAGAGAGAAGGCAGCAGTCAGCAGGGCCAGTGCCTCTTCCTAAGGCCTTCCCTATCCAAGCCATCTAAAACTATAGGTCTGAGGCGACCTGTGGCCAAGGTGGCCTACAGCATAGTATATAAACTTTTGAAGGTTTATGCTCCTTTTACCCTAATCAGGGAGCTCCACTCTGAGGAGATAGCGTTCTGTAGGAGGTATGATCACACAGGCCTAATATGAGGCCTATTCTTTTTAGACCTTGGACAGGTCATTCGGCCTGGTGGTACCTAGTTCTGATACCCAGAGCAGAGGCTTAGATCCCTAGATATTTCTCCCCATGAACACAAAAAACACAGTAAACTTCTTAAAAGACATCTCAGGAAACTCTACAATATAAGCCAGGAGGCAGAAAGGTACAGAGAAGATGTGATGTGTTGGAAGCCTGAAGAAAGTGTCCCTCTGCTCTTGGCCCAGCTCACCATACTGCACATTTTCTTGATCTGGGGGTGGCTGTAGCACCCGGATGCTCCAGTGGATGTCAGGAATGGGCTCAGCCTCCTCCAGGGCTACCCACAACACTGATTGCTCCTTCCCTGCAGGAGGCAGGAACCCAACTTTCTGCCAAGGGGAAGGAAAGTGTCACAGGTGGCCTGGCTACCTCCCTGCCTTTGTGCTTCTACCCAGGGTGGGAGGTGGGAAAATCTTATCAAGTTGGGCTTCACATATATCTCTAGAGGATACAGAATGGACTCTTGTGAGCTGGTGCATACCAAGGTATTCCTATTCACATTGAACCCCTCCTCATCCCCACCCTGCATACCTCCCTGGCTTCTAAGTTTTGATGTCTGTCTCCCTATAAAATCAGAGGTCTAGGCATTTCCCCAGTTACCCTGTTTAGGACAGAGAAAGCCCCAGCCTGCAGTTCCTCCCGGTGAATGCCAAACCTTTGTGAACCATGCTGGACTGGGTCTGTGCTTCAGCCCTTTTACATGCTGATCAGCCATGGTCAGACTCTGGACCAGTTTCCTGGCCTGGGAAGCTCTGCCTACATTGAATCCCTGCCTGCCAGCCTGGACCCACCAACACTCACCAGGCTTGGAGGCAGGCTGGGTGTGGAGAAYTGTACCACCATAAGGTCCCGGTCAATTGTAAGTAGCTTCCAGCTTCCACCTGACCCCCCTGGAGAAAAAAGATGTCACTAAGTGCATGGCAGGGACCACCTTTCCCATCTGCTCTCTGCAGAATCCCACTGGAGGTTCTATGGAAAGGTGCCCCTTTCACCCTGAGAAGTATTTACCCAACTGCACATGACCCTGGGTGAGTCTCCTCCTCAGTCCCTTATTCATCTGGACACTGGCTGTGCCTAAGAAATGACAGACCTGGGGACACACTAGACCACCAAGGCCTTCAATGACTACAGTGTAAAGGAGCCCAGGAAGTTGGGTTGGGGACTGGGCTATGGGGTTTAAGCAAATGCTTAAGCAGGAACTATGTCATGAGATGTAGGTTTAGAATTAACACTTTCATAGTTTTGTGGAGGAACAGGTAGTCAGGGTAGGTGTCGCAAAAGACATTTCAGGGACTGACACCAGGCCTGATTGTAGGGAAGATGGAAGTGCTAATACTAGATTTCTCCTGGGCCTGAAGGTGGCAGAGCTGCTTCTGCCTAGGACAGGGCACCCAAGGGCTAGGGAAGGGAAGGATGATTCTGGCAGATCTAGGCTAGAGAAAGTTCTGTGGGCTTTAGGAGCAGGGTAGGTAACATGTTGAGGCTAGGCCAGGACATAGTTGAGTACTGAAGGTCAGTGGAACAGGAAAGGGTTTTGCATGGATAGAATCCTCAGAGGACTACTGGAAAAGCCTGTAGAATAGTCAGTGGCTGAGAGTACTGCTGTTACCACACCTGTAGCTCCAGCTGTCTAACCCTAATCCGGTTGGCTCACTCACCCTGCTCTTACCACCACACCAGAACCCCTGCTCACCAGCTGTTAAGGAGGTCACATTGCCCATCTGAGTGTCCACAGCAAATAGGTCCTGAGGCAGAGAGAAGACCACATGGGCACCACATCCAAGAACCCTGAGGGCCCAGGTTCAAATCTCAGTTCCATCATAACTGAGTATCCCTGGGCAAGGTATGAAATATTACTGGGTTCTTTTTTTGGTAGTGGGGATTAAACCCAGGGACACTAAACCACTGAGCCACATCCCCAGCCATTTTTTTTTATATTTTACTTAGAGACAGGGTCTTGTTGAGTTGCTTAGGGCCTCACTAAGTTGCTGAGGCTGGCTTTGAACTCGTGATCCTTCTACCTCAGCCTCCCAAGCTGCTGGGATTATAGGCAAGCACCGCTGCACCTGGTCACTGGATCCTTTTGAGTTAGCATGAGACCAAATGATATTACACCCAAAAGGAGACTGGTATACTATAGACATCTTCATCCCATCCCTAGGGTAAGGGTTTGGTCTTATCTCCATTARCTGCCTTTAAATGAATATCCTGGACCCACCCAGTGGCAGCCCCTTTCTCCCCCAGCTGGGAGAGGATGTACCTGTGCCTCAGGCAAAAAGGTCAAAGGTTCTGCTATGGGGCGCCAGGGCAGTTGATCCCCTCAAGGAGAATCAAGTGCAAGACAGGACAGGCAGGACTTTTTCAAAGGGCAGGTGAGACACTAGGACTGGGCATTCCCCAAAGGCATGTATATGCTATGCCTCAGGGCCCAGATTCCTGGCAGTTGATCATAGTGTCTGTTACCTGTCGGCTGCGTTGAGCTGAATCAAAGATTACTCTCCGGCTGTCAGCTGACCAGCATCCTAGAGGCAGAAGGCTGCAGTAGATCCCAGAGAAGCTCTCTGAAAAGATGGGAAGGCTGGTGCTGGGTCCAGGAGCAGAGGTTATGGGGGGTCAAGACTATGAAGTAGGCTGGGCTTTTAGGGAATCCACCTGGGGCCCCTGCAACTTATAACAAAATGGCAGTCTCACTCTGGTGATGAGAAGCTGCCTGTATGAGGGAGGAAAAGAAGACTCTGAGGACTCTTAAGAAGCAGTTTGAGAACTACTGAGAAACAATGGGTTCTCAAAAGAAAAGCACTTGCTTTTCCTAAGTTGCTCTGGGCCTCTGGTATCTTTAAGCAAGATAGCACCTGTTTGTC